GGCACATGATGAGTTGCACTGATGCCACCCTTAAGCATGGAAGCATGATGCTCATGCTTGGCTGGTTGGGGGCACATGATGAGTTGCACTGATGCCACCCTTAAGCATGGAAGCATGATGCTCATGCTTGGCTGGTTGGGGGCACATGATGAGTTGCACTGATGCCACCTGTTGAATGATGCTCGTGAGTGGGAGTGCAAGTGAATGGGGCTGAGTCCCCTTGGGTGGGTGAGAGCAAGTGAAAGGGGCTGAGTCCTCTTGGGTGGCACATGATGGGCTGTATGGCACTGATGTGACCTGCGTGAGAGGTCATGGTGTGAGTGTGAGCGGTGAAACTAGTGTGCAACTGGTTGGTGAGTGTGAGTGAATGAGTGAGTGGTGGTGAGGCTGGTTAGTGAGAGGGTAAGTGGTGAGAGTGAGCATGAGTGGTGAGAGTGGTGAGTCCCGTTGGGTGGGTGAGAGCAAGTGAAAGGGGATGAGTCCCCTTGGGTGGCACTGATGCCACCTGTTGCATGAGAGCAGTGAGTGGTTTGAGTGGTAAGTCTGAGTGGTGAGAGTGTGGTGAGATTGAGTGGCCAGAATGGTAGGAGTGTGGTGACACTGAGTGGTGAGAGTGAGTGGTTACAAGTAGTTGTGGATGGGTATGGTGAGGTGGTTAGATTGAGTGGTGAGAGTGGGTGGTTAGAGAAAGGTGATTTTCAGTGAGAGTGGTGAGAGTGGGTGTCGAGAGAGTGGTGATTTTTGAATGCAAGAGTGGCGCAGAGAGTAGAGAGGGTGGTGAGCGTGAGTGGTTAGAGTGGTGAGTGGTTAGAGTGGTGAGTGGTTAGAGTGGTGAGTGTGAGTGGTTAGAGTGGTGAGTGGTTAGAGTGGTGAGTGGTTAGAGTGGTGAGTGGTTAGAGTGGTGAATATTAGAGTGGTGAGTGGTTAGAGTGGTGAGTGGTTAGAGTGGTGAGTATTAAAGTGGTGAGTGGTTAGAGTGGTGAGTGGTTAGAGTGGTGAGTGGTTAGAGTGGTGAGTGGTTAGAGTGGTGAGTGGTTAGAGTGGTGAGTACTTAGAGTGGTGAGTGGCGACATTTGTGAGAGAACTCTGAGACCGAGCTGTGAGAGTGAGATGGAGTGAGTGGTGAGAATGGTGAGTGGTGGAGGGGTGGGAGTGGCGAGGTGGAGTGAGTGTTGAGAGTGAATTGTCAGAGTGAGTGGAGGGACTCAGTGGTGAAGAGTGGTGAAGAATGTTGAAGAGTGAGATTGGCAGTAAAGGGAGTGAGTGGTGCAAGTAAGTGCAGAGATTGAGGAATGAGAGTGGACAGGGAGTGAGTGGTGAGAGTGCAGTGACAGTGGGTGGTGAGAGAGCGGTGAGTGTTAGTGAGTGGTGGGAGTGGCAAGGGGTGCAACAGTGGGATGTCATAATGGTAGCCATGTGATGCATGAGTACACCAGGCATGCAGGTTTGCACATGTGCATACATGTGTGTATGTGTGCAGTCTGCACGCATACGTGCACGTGTGCGCGTGCACATGATCTGGTGTGAAGCTTGCTTATATCGCTCACCAGAGTGAGTGGCACGAGTTAGTGACTGGTGAGAGCGGCGAGGGTGAGTGACGGGAGGGGTGTATTCTGAGCGGTGAGAATGAGAGGTGACAGTGGCGAGAGTGAAGGAGTCGCGGGAGGAAGTGGGTGGTGAGAGTGAGCGGCGGGATTTGAATGGTGTGGTGACTGAATTGTTGTGTAATACGGTAAGCCAGCTTGGCATGACACTTCAAGCACCCAGTGCGTGCGTGTAAGATATCTACAATGCCAGGTGAACTGCCTGTTTTGAATATCACATTGTCGTACTTTTTCTCCTGTAGTTGCAAGCACTTATTGCTAGATCTGGTAGGAAATTCCTGCTCAACGCTTAGTATTGAGTGGTACCCATGGTGGTGACAAACTCCTGAATTGAACTCTGTCAGTAATTATTTTCAGACAAAGCAGGAAATATGTCCTGCTAGGAATATGGTATGTAATTACTACGGTAATGCCTTGTTCAGGGGTTATTTATGTTGATGAATACTCGATTTAAAACCAGGGTGCACATTCAACGCGGTTCGGCTTGAGATGTTGGGAAGGGGGTTTGGAGAAAAACAGTGATTGGCTCACGAGGGGCGACAAAAAAATGATTCCGCTAGAGCTTCGGGCATTTCGTAGGTGGCGGGAGGGGGTGAAATGGCGGGAGTGGGTGAAACCGAATGGCGGGAGGGATGAAACAGATTGGCGGGAGGGGGGGGAAACGAAATTGCGGGGGAGGGGGGAAACAAAATTGCGGGGGAGGGGGGAAACGAATTTCGACGGGGAGGGGGAAATGAAATTGCGGGGGCGTGGGGAAACGAAATTGCGGGGGAGGGGGGAAACGAATTTCGACTTGAAGGGGTTGAAAGCACACCTCGTAACCCACTCAGTCAAGGGATAACCTTTGATGCACATTCAGCTGAATGTGCACCCCGGTTTTAACACAAACGTTCCAGCGGGGACTACCATAAGAGTGTCACCCTGATTGCGCCTTCCCCGCTTTGGCCTGAGCGAAAAACGCCCCAGAGCAAGCCGTCTTCTGGAGAGTGTTTGGAGCGGGAATTTAAACAAGGCTTCCGGCTTTTTAGAGCGGTACTCTGTCAAGAACAGTGGTACTTTGTGGTAACGCACTGCAGCAGAATGTGGACCACTTGCAGGAATCCCTTCTAGTCCGGTTTCTGTGCACTCCAGGTCTGCACTGGGGAAGGATGGGATACTGTACGACAGACTCATCCATCAGGCTTACAACATTCCGTTTCCAGTGCAGAATGGTGCATGCTAAGTTCTAGGGCAGAAGCGCTTATCGCCTTGGACGGCACATTTTGCGATCTCTGATCTGCCGCCATTCTGTTAATCGCGACCATTGATGCAGGCTAAGCGAGCAGCATTTGTTTCATACCAGAGCGATCCTGCTCTCCATAGAATGACTTCAGAGTGCCGATTGCCTTCGATATAGAGCGATCCGGTCTAACAAGTTGATGCATGTAAATTGGAGCTAGCTTCGGCATGAGGACCGCAGCAGCGACAGTTAGTTGGCTTCAACGCTCGTTAAGCGGACGGAAGAGAACTTCTAGTCGAGATTTAAGAAACCTTAGTCTAAGCGTCCGTGTTACGGCTCCGGAATCCAAACGAAGACCGTTGCGTCTGATCACTGTGTACGTCCTTGGACTGCTTTTCACGGCTCTGATCGTCATTCCCGATGCGAATCAACGGCTATTGAGCATCAAGAGCTCGTCCTCAGTTGAATCAGACGAGAAGTTTCCGGGATCCCGACATTTGTCCATTTCTGATGTTGGATTGAAAGGGGAACCTGCGAGCAGGAGGAAGAACAAGGAGACCAAGGAGATTAAGGATTCTTTAGGGGTTGAGACGGAGGAGCAGGATGCGAGCGACTTTGCTGACGATTTCGTCGCTTTGTCTGAACGGAGGACGACACCTCGCGGACGAGGGAAGACTCCTGAGAAAGGCAGGCTCGCGACACCTGATCAGGAGAATGGCGGACAAGATGCAAGCGGTCAGCAAGATGGAACCGAGAATGCAGAGGACAAAACGGCAGGATTGGCAGCAGATGTCGCGGCTTCAGAAGGTGTTTCAGCTGCAGAAGAGGAATCTGATGCTGTCTCTGACTTCCCTGAAGCAAGCGAAGAGGAAGGTGAGCCTTAGTGCATGGAGAATAAAGGTACCACGATTTGAAACTTCCTCCCAACAAGGGCCATGCACTCTGGTGGCCAGTTTGCATCCTCCCCGATGGAGAATTGAAATGGAAAAATGGAAGAAATGTGTGTTACTTGGATCGCGTGAGCATCAGTGAGTCAGTCCTTGCTGGAGACTTGACGCGCTTCTCTGCCTTCACGACCTCACCATCCTCTCCTCCTCTTGTTCCACCTTCCTCCACTCTAGCCCCTTCCTACCCCCCTTCTCTCCACCCTCTCCTCACTGTCTATTTCCTTCCCGTGCTTAAGCTAATCTCCACCCCGACTCTTTCCCCCATGCCATTCCCCTTCGAGCAATTCCCAAGCAGTAGCCAGGGCCAAACCTGTGGTCCTTGCATCCCCGCCTCCGCAACCTAAGCCCCCGCCAAAGAAGCCTCCACGGCCTCCTCCAAATCCAAATGATTATCTCCTCAAATTTAAGCCCATCACGCCCACTCCTCCCAAGACCTGGCCTGACAACATCATTCTAACCCTGGCCACCGGGGAAGCATCCAAGAACCTGACAGTGCTGCTCCGGTCGTTTCAGCGGTTTGTGGAGCATGGAGGGCGAGCATGGTTGTTTCTGTTCTTTGACCGCGTGCCTCTGTGGTGGTGGCCAATGACAGCTGAGCAGAGAAAAGGGATCTATATGCAACAGTATGAAGCTCCCCGAGCAGGTGAGAGGGAGAAACGCTATCATGCAAGATAATATGATGCTGATGTTGCAAGCATGGATTCGTCCAGATTTATTTTTTTTATTCGATTTTCCTTTCAACTTTTCTCTCCAGGAAATTGGAGCCATGCTCCTGCTACCAACATCCGGTATCTCGTGTTCAAAAAGTTTCTGCATGAATTGGGCTCATCATTTGAAGGGAATGTGGCTCTTTCTGATGCTCATGATATTCTCTTCCTTCGCGACCCTTTTCCTGCCAAGGAGTCAAAGGACATGTTTCTGCGCTTTATCACAGTAAGATGTTCTGTTTTACAATGGTGCCCTTGCATGCAGTAGATTTCGTTAGGTTGACCATCATACTCTCCTGCACCTTTCTATTCGCTGCAGGAAGCTTCTCAATACCCGCGTCATGGGACCAAGGCATTATCGCTGCAACACAAGCAATTATTGTCCTGCTTTTCACGGAAGGAGGCTTTCTCACTTGGAGGAATGCGTGTTATCAACCCTGGCTTCATCTATGGCCCAGCCTCGCACATGCGGCAGCTGCTGACACTGATTGTGGCAATCTTCCAGCAGGGTCCAAGAGTGTGTATGCGGTGGGAAAAGAGTGACCAAGCAGTCATCAACCAGCTAGTAAGAGCAGGTAAGTTCCTCATGAAGCATGTGCCACATCTTGTTTGTTCCAGTTGATTGCAGCAAATAATGGCAGGGCTCTCTGATGCTGCAGGGATGCTCAAGAGCATGCCGCAAATTAAAGTGCAAGACATGGAGCGTGCAAGTGTCCTTCATCGGTTCGGCCCAGATGATAAATACATTATTGGAGATCAGAAGAAGCTGCTCAATGAACACGGTGGCACATTGTCAGTCTTGCACGGCTTCGACCGTTTTCCAGATACGAGAGTTCTGGCCAGTAGAGTGCTGTCTGGTAAACTTTGAATGGAAAATCACTGGCATTTGTGATTTCCTTTCCAATAACTTCCAATGTGGTTTGCAAAGCAATATGGTACGGTGAAAGCCATTCACGTATTATTATCCACAGCACCCTGACTTGGCTGCATTCCCATCCCCAACCATGATAGTTGTGCCCTCTCCGGGCCCAGCAGGGCCAGAGTCTTCTTGGCCGAGGGCCTTCTTGCTCACAATGCGGTAAATTTCAGTCAATATTTTATGAAATGCGTTTTCCACATTCGTTGACTCCAATGCAGATGTCTCAATAAAAGAAAGGCCTTCTTTCTCTGCAACAAACGTTGGTGAAGTCAGTACTTTCCACAGGCGGTAAATGCAGCTGTATCAGAAGCAAGAGGAAGAACAGCACACTTGCCTGCAAAAGACTGCGCGTCTTCTGTAGCAACCGCTCTGAGATGCCTCAGGTCAGACTTGTTGCCAACAAGGGTAATCACAATGTTTGCGTCTGCATGGTCTCGTAATTCCTTCAGCCACCTTTCAACGTTCTCGTACGTCACAGGTTTAGTAATGTCATAGACAAGCAGGCAACCCACAGCTCCTCTGTAATAAGCGCTTGTGATTGCGCGATATCTTTCTTGACCTGCCGTATCCCAGATCTGCGCCTTGATTGTCTTCCCATCAACCTGAGAGAACAAGCCTTTTAGAAGCATATAATTGAGAACGCCGTAATTGACAATGCCGTAAGAACTTCGCGTACCTGAATGCTTCGTGTTGCGAACTCAACTCCAATAGTCGATTTCGACTCCAAGCAAAACTCGTTGCGGGTAAACCTAGAGAGCAGATTAGACTTCCCCACTCCAGAATCTCCTATTAGGACGACCTTGAATAAGTAATCGTATTCGTCATCCGGTTTATGAGCCATTTTCGCCTAGTCTGCGCCTGAGCTTGCGTGGAAAAGCGGAGGCTATCTGGAAGATCAAACACAACAATGCAGCTTTAGCGCCACATGGAAGTATCCCTTTCCTACAGTCTCGGGTTCTTAGTAATAGTACTGCATCTAGCTCCTGGATGCACGGAATGTTAGGTCATTACCTAGCTAAGGTAGGCCGAATCCAGCTTATTTTCAGACTGAAACGGGCTTGAGCAGGTGTGAAAGTATTGCGTGAAGTAATTTGCGTGTGAGGCGGAGAACTGTTCAATTACATCAACAAGGCTTTTCGTAGAAGCACAAAATCAACTGCAAGAATGACAATTTCCGTTCCTTTTACGGCTGCTGACTTCTTTTCTGTCCGTTGACTGCTTGCTGACGACAAACGGGTGGTGAAAAGCAAACTCGAGGGGGTTCTGGCGCCACACAGCCCAAAAATCAAAAACCGTGTCGCATGTTGATTCAACCACCTGACCCACATGTCCCAAATTCGCACGGGCAGAATTGCTCCTGTATTTGATTGGCTCATTCCTCCCCAAAACAGCCCGTGAAAGCCCGTGGTTGAAATGTGCGATGCGGCGAAAAGAACAAGAGGAAAAACACATTTCGTCGTATCGACGAAACCCATGCGACGCAAAATTCAGCTCAGTTCAGCCAGCCACGAAACGATCCATTCCCAAGAAACCAAATCGAGGAGCCCAGCAAGAGACCCATCAAGCAAGCGCGCGTCTCGGTAGCACCTTTCACTGAGACGCTACCGTTGGCGCCCTGCCTGATTGTTGATTCTCCTACACAGCTCACTCATTGCCGTCAGTATTTCAAACATTTTATTCGTTCCTGCCGTATTCCTCGCGCCCTTTCGCTTCTTCCCATCAAGCACGCATCTCTCAGTTGTGAGCTTGCACGCAGCAAAAGCAACCACCCAAAACTGCCTTACCCATATCTTCTTGCCCTGATACATTCCCGGACCAGATGTTCCCAGCGTCCTTGCACATACACCTTCCTGAATATGTCGGTAGATTCCCGTCGAGTGTCACCTCGCATCCAGGTTGTGACTGGAAGCTTGACCCTCGTCTGGTAAATCCACGTTAGACTACGAACCCTCTCGCACCGTTGGCAGCTTCATAACACTTCGCTCAGGCCCGACGATTTGCTTCCGATAGCACATTTCTTCCCTTTCCAGCATCCAGGTTAGAAGAAAATCGGTTGAGGAACAGTCCTATACCTTCTCTGGTTAGCAATTCCGTGACTGTATCTGTATCCGAGCAGCCTAGTACCGGAAAACGGCAGAGTTCAGACCAGCTTCTAGCCCAGCGCCATGGCTGACTCGCCAATATGCACTATCGTCATGATCAACGCAATTCACTGATCACAATTCCTGCATAGATTTTTCCGCGTCGGAGTCGACCTTCGCAAAAATCCTCAGAGCCTCAGATGTATCCGCGGCTCTCCGTGTCGACCTTGAATACATGTCAGTCTGCCCCGTGATGGCACGTCCAGCGCTCCGTTTCTCCAGTATAGTAGTCACTGCGCTCGCCGTACTCATCCTCCTCTCGTCCTCGAGTATCATATGTGCGTCGTCAGCAAACGCCTCGTCACCTGCATCTACCGACGCACTCGGATCGGATGGTCTCTCTTGCGGAGAAGGCTCGTTACTGAAGACACTCCACGATTTGGAGCAGGACCAATTTCGAAGTGGAGCTACTCCCTTCAGACCAGAGTCTGTACTACAATCTTTCGCCGATGTGACAAGAAGAGCGGAGGAGGCGAACGAAGCAGGCAAGCAGCGGCAGATGGTAGCACAGTCAACGACCGGGAACGGATCGGAGCGCCTCGCGCGTACACTGACTGAGCTAGCTCGTGCCTCATTCGCTTTCGTCCGTCGCCGATTGCCGCTGATTCAAGCCAGCCGCATGGTTCAGACGTCAAGTCGCTCCGTCCCTAACTCTTCTGCGTCTGAGGCCACCGCCTCGCTCTCGCCGTCCCTTCCTCTCCTTGCCACCTCCGCGAGCGCGTTCAAAACGACCAAATCCCCCGCGAAGCAACCTCCACGGCCGGCCACTCTCAAACCTACCGCCCCTCTTCCTCCTCCTATACCTCCTGCTCATACGTCCCCTGTGAAGCAAGGAACCAACGACACAGGTGCAGGGTCAAAGGATGGGGGTGATGGGGATGCTGGCAGTGCTGCTGGGGTCAGCAGCGGGGGAAATAGCACCGGCGTGCCTAACGTGACTAGCAGCCCGCCGAAACCGCTCAAGTCTCCGCCTAAGCCTTCCAAGAGCCCGCATAAGCCGGCCAAGTCTCCCAAGCCGCGGAAATCCCCCAAGCATCCCCCGGCGTCCAAGTCCCCCAAGTCTCCCCCCAAGCCTTCCGCCAGTACGCCATCCCCGCCTGCTGCTATCGCTGACGCTCCGCCTGAACCCCCCTCCCCGCCTCTCCCGTCACCCTCGACCAAGGCCCCCAAATCACCCACACCCTCCAGCCCACCTCCTCCCAAGCCATCTCCCATAATCAAACCGACTAAGAGCCCTCCTCCCCCTATTGCTCCACCATCTCTACCCCCACCTAAGCCCCAGAAATCTCCTCCTCCCCCCACCCTCTCGCCATCTCCACCCTTAAATAAGACCCAATCCACTCCCAAATCCTCACCCCCTCCCAAATCCTCAACCCCTCCCGAATCCCCTCCCCCTCCCAAATCCCCTCCCCCTCCTAAATCCCTGCCCCCTCCCAAATCCCCGCCCCCTCCCAAGTCTCCGCCCCCTCCCAAGTCTCCGCCCCCTCCCAAATCCCCGCCCCCTTCCCCCACGCCTCTACCATCTCCTCCTCCTAAGCCGGTCAAGTCCCCCCCTCCTATCAAACCCTCCCAACCCGCCAGCTCCCCTCCGCGTTCCCCTCCGCCCCCATCCGCCAAGCCCAACCCTGGACAAAAACCCCCGCCTCCCCCGCCTAAGGGGGGAGGAGGGGTTGCGCCAGGGGAGGATGGGGAGGAAGAGGCGGATGGGGAAGGGGATGGGGAAGGGGAATGGTACGAGCTGCCTCCTAGGGTGCCGTCGTCCAGTAAGCCGGTGCCACCTGGCACCGGTGGCGTGTACGACGTGAGAAGCTTCGGGGCCAAGGGGGACGGGAAGAGCAACGACGGGAAGGCACTAGAAGCAGCTTTCGCCGCCGCATGTGCTGCGTCCCTCAACAGCAGCACCGCAACTGGGGTAGGAGGAGCAGCAGATGGGGGTAAAGATCAGGGTGTGCCAACGGTGCTGATTCCGGGTAAATACACCTTCCACATCATGGGAGTTTCCTTCCTTGGCCCGTGCGGGCCTTCAGGCGTGAACGTGCAGCTGGACGGAAACATCACGGTGCCTCAGAACCCCAAGGTCTACACCGTTCCCAAGACCGGCCCCTTCACCATTTTCTACTTTAAGGGTATCACGGGGCTGAAGGTGTATGGGCGCGGCATGGTGGACGGGCGAGGGCAGCTGTTCTGGGAGCAGAAGGGGAAGGGCGATCGGCCCATGCTGCTCTACTTCTTCCGCTGCAACCAGACCGTGCTGAGTGGCATCACGCTTAGGTAAGTGTGCATGAGTGTTGAGGCAATTCACGAGCTTATACTTTCTGGCGCAACCAGACAGTGCTAAGTGGCATCACTCTCATGTCAGCATGCATGACCTTTAGCCGGCTTCAATGTCGTGTGTGTGTGTCATTGCAACGAGGCTATTATTAGAGCATGGATGCAGAAATCCCACTGACTCCTATTCAACGCTCCAAACCCATCCGTGTCATCTCTCCTCCCCTACTCCCACGTACCAGGAATGCAGCGTTTTTCCACGTGCAAGTGTTCCGGTGCGCCAACATGCGCATCTTTGACTTTCGCACGGACTCACCAGCAGAGAGCATCAACACGGACGGCATCCACATCTCCTCCTCCTTTAACATCGACATCCGACGGTGCACGCTCGCCGGGGGGGATGACAACGTGTCCATGTGGGACGGCGCTGTCGGCGTGACTATATCGAATGTCACATGCCTCACAGGCCATGGCATCTCGTAAGTGGGGTGAAATAAAGGAATGTTACACGCCACGCACATTGTGCAACTCATGATGACGGCTTGCTCTCTCGCGCGCCATCAAATGCTTGCATGCCCCGTTCTTTCTTCACCTCCTCCTTACCCTCTTACACTTTTTCCTCTCCCTTCCTACTCGTTCCAGCATTGGCCCCCTTGGGAGTGGGTGTATCCTGCATCATGGGTCTTTGACATATCAAGGATGTGCGTTCCATCAACACCAAGATAGGCCTGCGCATCAAGACGTTCCGAAGTGGATCCGGGAAGGCCACCAACATACTTCATGACGGCATCTCCATGGACGCGTGCGGTATCCAATCGCCTCTCCACCCTTTTTACCCTTCCCTCTTCCCTCGTCCCTCTCCACCATTTTGACCCTAGCCAGCATCGGAGCACTAGGGAGCGGCACCGTGTATCCCGTATCCTGCGTGTCGGACATATCAGTGAAGGACGTGCGTTTCGTCAACACCAAGATAGGCCTGCGCATCAAGACGTTCCAAGGCGGCGCAGGGAAGGCCACCAACATAATTTATGATGGCATCTCCATGGAGAACGTGCGGTACCCGATCGTCCTAGATCAGGTGGGCTGTGCGGTCTGTGAAGTCTCTGAAGCCCGTGAAGTCTGTACAGTCTGTGAAGTAGCACATTCCTTCCTCCATCTACTTTTATTCATTAAAAAACACATCTCCCCCCCCCCCCCCCCCATCTACTTTGCCATGTCATTCCTTATAGCCCTCCACTCTCTTCTCTTCCCCTACATGCTAAAAGCCTTCTCTGTACCCGCTGACAGAATCTCATGCCTACCCCAGCCAGATGCCACGCCCTTCCTTCTGGAACCTTTTCTTGGGAGCCCCATGCTTGGCTCACCCGCTTTGACTTGTCCTACTCGCCCACCATGGTTTCCATTTTACCCACTTTCTTCCTAGCAGTATTATTGTGGAGGTAGCCTTTATTGTTACGGTGACATCAAGACAAGCAACGTCGCCATTGTTAACGTAACATACTCTAACATCCAAGGCACAACGCTTGGTCCTGAAGGGATTATCTTCAGGTGTAGCCGAACGGTTCCCTGCACCGACATATTTATGGACAGCGTTAATATAACTTCCCCTAACCCTGGTGCCTTGTTCCCGACCTCCCTCCATGTCTATGGGACTGGCGGTCTGCACCAGTCAATGCCTCCCATGGTAATGGGATCTCTGCCTGGGATAACTGAGATTGCTAGGATACAGCGCCAAGTAACTTCATGCGTAGGAGTGACTGACTGGTAGTGACTGACTCGTAACTTTCGAGGTAGTTATCTCTACCTGCATCCATCATTTGATGGCTTGCTGAAATTGCAGCAATCAATTTGATTGTAGCGTTATAACTCGGAAAGTGTTGGAATAATGTATAGTATTCAACAAATAACTTTCAACACTCTCAAATCGATGCTATTTCGTGCACGTCGCTACGGTACAATATGAGAGTGGAGATTTGTGTTACGAATAGTAGTGTAAGAACATTACTGTGCACTCCCGACCGCAACTCAGGAAACATACAGTATCGAGAACGAATGCGAAGAGTCAGAAGTGACTCGAAGCGTCAGACGGTTAGGATGCATCTGGACCGTCGCAGCAGACGGCATCGGGCAGCTGCAGGCAGAAGGATTCTGGCGTGAACAGTTTTGTAACTGTACGCACCGCACGGTTGGGAATGAATCTGAATAAGGGAATGTACCCCTTAGAGTACATGGCTAGCTAGGTCGATTCGAATTCCCCTGTACTCTTATTTATATCGTTGTATTTGCATGTTTTTATTATCTCAAGCATTTTACATTCACTCTGCTATTGAGGTCAAGGGCCCACCACCACTAGACTAGAAGTGTGCGAACCTTTCTGAGGTGATCCTGGTTACGATCAATTTCTTATCGCAGCATGGTATGAGAGCGACTCATGAATCCTTCACACTGCCATCTCCGAAATCCGTGACATTCGGAAAGTGGCGTCCGGCACACGATCACGTGTAAGGATGGCCGGAGGATCTGGAGGTCAGACGAATCTGACGGCTGAAGCGCAGCCCAACCCGGCTGCGACAAGCGAGGAAACGACGACAATCCCTTCCGCCGTCCTCGCACAACTGCTTCAGCGACTCACGAGCCTGGAGCAAGGGCTCCAAACATTGCGGAAAGGCGACGCGTGAACATCCACGCAACCTTCTCAACCGGCCCCAACTGGCCAGAACGCCGCCCCGCACACATTCTCCCTCGACACAAATGGTTCAACCCCCAAGACTCCCCGTCCCAGTGAAGAGGCAATTATCTTTGCGCAATCAAGGTTTCTCAGCATATCAAAAATAAAGATAAGTGTGTGTTTTGACGGCATAGATTTCTGTACCTGGAGCTTCGAGCTGGAGCTCCTGCTGCAGAACGCTCAGTTTTTTCACTATTTCGACGGGAGTTACGCGGAGCCTGCTGAGGACACCGACGACGCCAAGGGGAGATATTACAACGAATCTCTGATGACGTACGGGGTGCTCCTGCGGAACATGTCGCCGGCGGAGCAATTGAGCATCCGCTCATACAAAACATCGGCCGCTCCAGCCCTCAACGCCTGGCGCCATCTCAACGGCGTGTATCAGCCGAAGGACTCAGTCTCTTCGAGCCGGCTGCTCCAGCAGCTACTAGAAACTAAAATGGCCCCAGGGGAGAAGGCCAACAGCTACATCAATCGCTGTCGGAGCCTTCGCGACCAAATCGAGAAGCTGGGAAGCTCGATCTCGGAGGAAATTTTCGTTAATATCGTGCTTCAAGGGCTCGGCCCAGAGTGGCGGCCCTGCAAAGCGCTTCTCCGACAGCAAGGGGTCATCTCGGAGGCCGCCCTTTGCGCCACCCTTCTCGTCGAACAACGGGATATGGATCAGCAGCGACCAGCGCCACGACGAGAACGAGAACGGCTCGCCTTCTATGCCGACAACAACGAAGAGCGACGGCCGCGGCGCCTCTACTGCAAAATTTGCAGAAATTTTGGGCACCTGGCGGATCGATGTAAATTCCGATCTCGCCCTCGCCAGACCAATCCGAGCAACTGGTCCGGCCGACAAGACGCACGAGGCGACGTGCGTCCAGCCCAGGGGTATCAACCCCCACCCGCGCGCAACCTGAACCCAGCGGTTCAGCATCAGCAGCAGCAGCCGTCATCGACTGCCCCAGTACGCAACGTCATGAGCAACATGGCCATGACAGGCGAGTCGCGTTGTCGCTGCGTGCGCTCACCTTCACTCGAGCCAACACCGCACCCCGTTGGCGCGTTCTCCAACAATAATCCGTTCAGTTCGCGCCACGACTTCACCGACGACAACGAACAGGACTGGAACCTTCCAGTCCCACTGCTCGAAAGTCCCCCGCATGTACTTGATATGCGGGTGGCGCCACTCGACTGGCTCTCGCGTGAGCAATTTTTGAAGTTCGACACCCCGCACATCGTCACGCCGCGACTGGCGCTGCTCGCACGTGACGATAACAAGCGCTACAACACCTGGTACCTGGACAGCTGCTGCGGCCAGCACATGGTGGGCTCCGAGCGTTACATATCCAACGCCGTCGCCACCCCCACAGTCACCTACGTCACCGTGGCCAACAACACCCGCCTGCGCGCAAGCGCGCAAGGCATCGTCGTGCTCAAGGCACGTGGAAGCCGCACGCACATCACACTCAACGATGTGCTGATCGTCCAGAACCTGCGCTTCAACCTACTTTCCGCCGCACAGCTCATGGACTGCGGCGTCGACCTCAGCACAGACCGCAAATGCACGCGACATCCTGCTGCACTACAAATCACAAAACTTCCCCCGCAGGCAGATCGGACGAGCGCACTCTGGAAATGGAGTGTATGTCTTGGACTTCGACATTCCCGACTGCAGCGGTGACTCGCACGAGTTAATCGATCTCGTACCACTGCGGTTCGAGCATATCCACCGCAGGGATTGGAAGCATCCTGACGGTAGACCGTGGGTACCGCATCATCCCCACCCACGCGAAACGGCGCCTCACGACCCTGACGCAGACGGCATCTGCAGGGATTGTCGCACGCAAACGGCTTCAACTAGCGCAATTGCCGGCCGCGGACTCGCCGCCATCGCCGAAGCAGAGCACCACGCGCCGCCAGAACAAGGAATGTCGCAACTCGAACTTGAGGTCACCACGCACGGCGTGTTTGGCACGCCAGAGCATCCTCTCATCGGTTCCCCCTCACAACACCTTCAAGGCATGCTGCGTGGAACTGGCGTCGGCACCTTCGACGCCAATGGCGTGCCTCGACCCTACACCCACGAGAAGTTTCTGGACATCTACTCCCATCAGCGCGACTCGTCGAAGAGACTCACCGTAGAACAGGAAGAAGAATCGGCGCGGCGCGAAGCTGAAGAGCTTCGCCAACAAAGCTTCGCCGAAGCGCGCGGGACATTCGCTTGCGGTGCATGGGGAGCCGAAGCGGAAGAAAGCGCCTCCAATGAAGGGGGGTGGGGAAGCGCTGGTGGATGGGGAACGAGTGATACCGGCGGATGGGGAACCAGCGGCGGAACCTGGGCCAACGCAAGCGGGGGATGGGGCGCCGCAACTGGCGCCGACAACAGTGGCTGGGGGACTTTCCGCGAAGAACAAAAGGGGGGAGAGGATAAAGTAGAGGAAACTGAGGCAACACCTGCAGTTGTCCCTCTTGGTCGTCCCCCGCGCCACACTCCACTCACATTACCTCCTCCTGACAACCCACCGCAGCGCGACCCCTGGGACACCATCGACTGGGGCAACGAACCGTCAACTCCGCGCCGCACCGTCTACGGACCTGCTCCCGAGCCGCGCGAACCCACCTTTCTCCCTGGAACTATCCCTAGGACTAACATCCCCCTCTCTGAGATTTGCGACAGAGAGTTTCTGGCGCTAATGCTGATTACCGTCTACAACGAAGATGAAGCAGCAGAAGAAGCACCAGCAGCACCTGCCCCTGCACCTGATGAGGATCCCGAAGAAGCTCGCGCACGCTACATGCGCACTTCCGGCTTTCGCGCCGACGATGCGCTCTGGCATCAGCGTCTCGGACATCCTTCGCGTGCGACACTGAAGAACTGCATCGACGCAAGAGTCTTCGCTCCTGGGGCGCTGCTATGCCCAGACGGCACCGAAGTGAGAGGCACGACACATCCGCGCAACTGCACCGTCTGCCCCGAAGCTGCGCTAAGCCACCAGCCGTTCCCACTGCTCGAGCCAGGGACGAACCGCTACCCCAAGCTGTACAAGGTGTACAGCGATTTCCTGAACGTGGGGCAAAGTGGGGTCGACGACGAAATGTACACACTTACCTTCATCGACGCCGGGACGCGTTATGTGTGGATCGTAAATGTTGAATCACGCGACAGAGCCTATGAGGTGTTCCGCCTCTGGCACGCGCAGCGGCAATCCGGGGAGAAGCTGGAAATCTGGCAATATGACGGCGCAAAGGAGTTTAGGAGCAATCAGATGCAGAGTTACCTCGCGCAAAAGGGGATCAAGCACCATATTTCTCTCCCCTACGCACACCAGCAGCAGGGCGTAGCTGAGCGGACGAAC